AAGCGGTAAAAAGCAACATTTCACACATTAAGCACAAACATGTGAATAAAACTAGAGAATAAATAAAGCCAAATATAAAAATTATTCTAAGCTCAAATTTTTGAACCCTGAAGCTTAAATTCTGGGTTCTTGTCCCCAGCGGAGTCACCAGAGCTGTCACACCTCCTTTTTACCACCCGAAAGTAGTACAAGGGAATTTTTCCAATTTAAGTGACAATCGAAATAGGATTATTTATATTAAATTTAGAGTCGCCACTTGGGATAATTTTTGGTGTCCCAAGTCACCGGTTTAAAATCTCGAATCGAGGAAGTTGACCCTTATTTACGGTCTACGAACATAGAAATCTGGGTAAAGAATTCTGTTAACCCGGGAGAAGGTGTTAGGCATTCCCGAATTTCGTGGGTTTAGCACGGTCGTTTTGATCATACTTGGCTTATCAAAATTATATAATTACTGATTTTAGAACCTATGTGCCTTTACCGCTTACCGCTTTTAAACTAAGAAAAATTGTCTTAAATTAGGTCACACGCACGTGTACCCATTTGTTTGGCGTGTCAAAAATCATGTCACGCGAACGTGTACACAATTAGTAACTCTTTATTATTATTGAGAAAATTTGGCAGAAGTTGCGCGAACGCATACTCCGGTTTTATTTTTAGAAATCGTAGTCACGTCACGCGAACGTGTCCACAACCACGATAGTATATTTAAACGGGCCTAAAGCAACTAAGAGCATTTGACATTTTTATAACCAGGTTATGAAATTAATACGAGGGCCATGGGTGATTAAATTGTGGATGGCACACCTCAGACTATATGAACTAAATTAATTAGTACTCTATGAAAACCCATTCTTATTATTAAAAAAAATTTGATCGAAGTTGTGCGAATGCAAACTCTGGTCTTAATTTTTAGAATCGCAATCATGTCACGCGGACGTGTACACAATCACGATATATTTGTGATGAGAATGTGCATAGAAGCATACTAACGATTTTGAAACATGTTCAGTAATTAATTACTATGGACTAAAGTTGGTTTAACCAATTCCATTTTTCAAACTTATAAACTCAAGAGATACATTTTTTCTTTTAGGATTGGTCCGTATCTTTTGGACCAGAACAAAGAAAGTAATCCCCTACAAATCATAACACATAGTGGCGCTCAATATTTATTTTCCAATCTTAAAAAAAACAAAATCAGAAATATTCCATCTTTATTCACTTGTACTACTATATGATTAGACTCGCCTAATACACAAAGTAGTTTCAATTCCTTATCCAAAGTTCATTTTAGTCACCAATCAGCTAATCTCAAAATCGAACTCCTACACGTGGAAAAGAAGCACAGAGAAATCGCGGATAGAGTTTGTATTAACATTAAAAGGATATTAATATGGACAATGGGATGTGATACTTCATATATCAATTTTACTTGTTTAATACTAAGATCCTAGATTACAATATTATGGGCTGCATTTATGACACCTATAATTAATTCTGCTTTTTGCACACGTACAAACTTTATCACTAAAAAGAATTACTTAAAAAAAAACTTTAAACAGTACCCTTTAACAAGAATTGCAAGAGAAATTTACAAATTCATCTAAGACAATAAACTCATCCAAATACATATTGAACTTAAACAACAAGTGTACTCCTCTACCTTATTTTACACAGGAAAATCAGTGACAGACCCTTTTAAATGGTTTGGGCCAGGACTCAATAGTAGGCCCAATTCAAGCATATTATAACTAAAAGACAAGGACACAGGATCGATCCCTTAGAGGAATCAATTTAACTGAGCAAGTATTTTTATCTACGAATCATTTTGAACACAAAATTAAAGCTCAATTTGACACTATCGACTTACAAAGTAGCATGCTGTAATAACCATATACATTACTTAGCAAGAAGAAGCATACACAATTTATATCATTTGGCATGATCTAGCTACGTATGCAACCAAATAAACTATCCAACCAACTTTCCTAGAAAAACCTTCAATTACACAACATTTAACCTCAAAATACTTGCAAGAGGGCTGATCCATCATCAGATAAAACCAAAATACAGCTTTCAACATGACTTTTGACATTATTCAGCAGGATATAATACACCAGGCAGACTCAGTAAACTAAAATAAAATTAAGCTACTGAACAGAGCAAATTTGGCAAGATCACTAGAAGAAAACCAACTTGAAACAAATGGATTAAACCAAAGATCTATATTGACATGCATTTAGACATAAACTGAAGGCCAAACAGTTCTAACTAGTAAAATCAAACCAGAACCCTTATCTATTACTGATGCCACCAAGTCTAAACCACTCTAGAATCATTTATATCCAAACAAAACCTAATTTCAGCATTTGAAAAGGGCTGACAACAACTTCAATTAAGAGTCCAAACAGAAGAGATACAAGTTATATCCAAACTTGATTAAACTTAATGTTAAATAAACCTCCATAAGAGTTCAGAATCATGAAAAGATTTAGTTATACAATACCAAACTTTAACTATTAAACATTAAACAGGACATTGATCTTCTTTGCTAATTCTTAAACCAAATTCAACTTTCAATAGATGCTATCACCAAGAGGGAGAATATGCACCAACCAATCATAGACTTATAAAAGTAAAGTTACACTATAATAGAAGAAACAAGCTGACATTACACTTTGAACTTCCCAGTTTTCCATATCATATATGAAGCAGACTTTACATTAGGGGAAATTTAAGGAATATACCTGAAAAAGAAAAATACAACAGAAAAATGAAGGATCAGCTACGACAGCAGCAACTAGCCCAGATTTAATCAGTTAAAAAATAGATTCAGCTTATGAAATTTGATGGAACAGTGCACTTTTAGCAAAATTTTGAACCAACAGACTCTCAATTACCAAAAAATCAATCCATTTCCATTCAAATGAGTTAAAGTAATTTCAGGAATTAGAAAGAAATTAAGTATGACTCAAAACTCAATGAAAGAGTAGCAGTTCAATCGTTGGTATTTTCTGGAATTTTTCACTTAAATCTCTCTATATATGTATATTTCAGTATTTTCAAAGTACCAGACTGTCTGTTTTTTGTGTATGAACTCAGTATCTATATATAGGCATTCAACTTAGTGCATTCACCACTTTCAATTCTACTTTTCATTTCTTAATTATCCACTAATTCAGTGCTTTTAGTTAATTCGGTAATGCAATTTCTACCCTGCCACTATTAGAAACTTCTCAATTAGGTGACCACTTGCATTAAACTTATAATAATCAATTCTTATTAATATAGTGTTACATTTACTAAAAAACCTATAAATTTATGATTAACCTAAACTGATAAAATCTACATTAATTAATCAGACTAAATATCCTAATTAGACAAAGATATACGACAACTCTGAGAGAAAAAATAGATAAAAATAAAAAGAATCAGGGGAAGGAGTAAAATAGATGAAGATAAAATAAAAAAAACAAAATTAAGAACGGAAAGAGAATACCTTGAATTAACCTCGTACAGTAAAAAATTGAAGAAGTCTTCGATTCTTCTAAATTTCCGGCCAAGTTTGATATTAATCGTGTGTTCTTAATTAAGAACACACGAATAAAACCAAACTTGGCCTGGAATTTTAATAAACCTCTGATTCGGGCGATTTTAGGAATTTAGGGTTAAATTTCGATCTAAGATTCGAAGAGGTAGCGGAATATTCGAGGGAGACTAGCTACGAATTTGAAAAGAGGGGTGATGAGGTTTTGTGGTGTGAATTTGGTGGTGAACGGAGGTGGCGCCACCACCGGAGAAAGTTAGGGCAGCGCTAGGGTTCATCCCTTCGAATCAATATTCGAAGAGCTCTAGGGATGTTCGATGGTAACATGTTACGGATTTGTGAAGAGGGGAGTGAGGGGGTTTTACGGTGTAAATTTGGGGCTGGTTGGCCACCGTCCGCCGCCGTGGGTGATTTCCGGCGGGCGGATGGCGGTGGTGTATTGATTGGTCTCTGAAGAGAGACAAGAGATGAAGGAGGCGGGTTCTGAGGGGGTAAGAGGGTCTGATGGGTTTTGACATATTAAAATTATTGATTCAATCAAGGCCATTGGATGATTGGAATCCAACGGTTCTGATTGAATCAATAGTTAAAACGGGGTCGTTTCGGTTTCATGGGGCCAGACCGGTTCTAGGCGGGTCAGGGTCGGGTAACGGGCGAAGCTCAGGACCGTTTGATCATCAAAGATCAACGGCAAGGGTTAGCCGTTACAAAACGACGCCGTTTTGTAACGGCTGAGACAGATCGGTTAGGGTTTTGTATTGGGTTGGGTTAATTGGATTTGGAGTGAGTTTGGACTGATTTTCTTTGGGCTTAGAATGTTTTTGGCCAGATTGGCCTAAACTGGATTTCCCTCCTTTATTTAATTCAATTTCTTTTCTTTTCTTCCTTTTTTTTCAAAAAATTAAAACTAAAACCCTAATTAAATTATAAAAACCCAAATTTGCTTTAAAAATATTAATTAACTCTAAATAATAATTATCATAAATAATTAAATACTAAATTAAAAGAAAATCACACAATTTGACTAAACATAAAAAATATGTTATTTTTTGTGAATTTTCATTTTTTTAAAACACCTAATTAATAATTAATTCCAAAAAATATAAAAATCAAATCCTAAATGTAGATGCTATATTTTTTATATTTTAAATGCATTAATAAAATTAAACATGCACATAAACATATGCAAACAAGCAGAAAAATCGCACAATAATTCCTAAAAATAACACATAATTAAAGAAAAGACCTAATTTGGGGAATTCTTTTAGAGTAATTCGTATGAGGCAAAAGTCACGTGCTCACAGCTGTATGGATGTTCGACGAATCGGCCCATATCGCATTTTGGTAACAACTTCGAAGCGCCTGGTATTTATCAACCCTCTCCTGATGTTCCTTCATCTGGTCACGGAGTGTTTTGTTCTCATTTTCCATCTCTTCCATCTTCTTTAAGATGGTCGTGAGTGTGTCGTTGCCTGTATCAGCAATAGTACGGGTGTTACCTGTTCATGTAGCGTTTGGCTCAACGGCAGCAGTTGCGGTTTCTATGGGTAGCGAGTCTTCGACACCTCCCTGAATGGGTTTCTCGAGCATATTGCTCAAGGTACTTGTTAACCATTCTTCTAGTAGCCTTTTGACAGCCGATAGCGCTTCTCCTACTGCAGATGTTGAGGTTTTCCTCTCGCGCAAGATCGTTAGATCCCCGTGCGGAGGAGGTGAGATCTCCCCCTCAGGTGTAACACTTGGTGTTGCATTCTCACTGTCTTTTCCTCGGCTTCGTTGAGGAATTCAGGAAGTTGTTTATGACACCCTCTATTGCCTTTAGCCTCGCTTCTCCCTTTCCCGCCACCGTTGGCTTTTATGGAGCTGAAGAAAAGTGATTATTTCTTTCAAGAATCTAGATGAAAACTACGATTTCAGCTATAGAAATCCCCACAGAGGGCGCCAAATTGTTTGACTCAAAAGATATTAAAACCTTATTGAACAAATCAATTAAAGATGAAGGGGTAAATCCTAGCTGAGAATAATAATCACTAGAAAGAGTGATAGATAAAGAGAAGACGGGTCACGAGGTTTCTTTTCATTCATAAATAGTAATGTCTTCTGAGATTTTCATTCCGGTTACAAGGTTATTGTCCTCCTTTTATACTAAGAGAGAAATTCTTCTAAACTGTAAAAGACAAAATACAAGGAATATTCGAAGGGATATTCCCAATGTCCCCTAATGGCCACACATTATTGCAAGGGTCGTCCAGTCTCTGGTTTGTCTTAGGGTCATCTCCCTCAGGACGTCAATTCAAGGAGGCTCCAACAATCGTCGTACTCGTCGTCGGTCGTGGTCGGTCAAATTTGGACCCATACAGGAACCCTTCATTGTAGCTCACAATATGATCCTATCTCATGTAGATGTTGTCAGCATTTACCGCACCAGATATCAGGTTTTTTCGACGACTCTTTCCCTTTTCTCCATTATCATGTCAATTCTCAGCATGGCATGATCTTGCACGCAACTTGTTTAAATAGTAATTACTCTTCTAGTGCATTGCTACTGTTAGCTTCTATGTTGCTCGGACTTTTCAAAAATAAAGTCGAATGCGTGCCGGATCCTTCAAAAGTAGTGTATCTTTGGAGGATCCGATATGAGTGCAACCACATTTTAGAGTGTGTGCGTAACATAGGCTGACTTGTCAAATGAAAGGTAAGGGAACACTAGATAAAACAAGATATCATCATGAGTCTAACTATTTTGGGTGAAGTAAAAAGTTGTATAATTAGACAACTAGATGTGAAAAATTTATCTTTAGAAACTCCCTTCTTATGCTATCTATCAAATCACTATTCACACTTACTTTCTTTTCTTCTTTTTGGGGTCTTTTCCTTCTGATTCATTAATTTCAATCGACCCTGAAATTGTAAGTTCGTTAGAAGACCAAAAAAGATATCAGTAAGATAGTCTATTTTCTGCTGCTTTTCAGAAAAGTCAAAGGGGCATGATTGGCATTACTATGGGTTTCGAATGGTATGAACCGTTAAGCAATTCCTCAGAAGACATAGCTGCAACTCATAGAGCTCGATCATTCTATGACAGTTGGTAAGCCTTCTATATACTAATATTTATGCATCGGAAAGAGAGTAAAAGAATATTTTTTACTAACTACCCACATGCAGGTTTTTAGACCCTATTATATTAGGAAGATATCCTAAAGAAATGGTACAAATTTTGGGATCTAATCTTCCGGAATTATCAATGAATGATTTGAGCAAGTTGAGTTATGGCCTAGATTTCATTGGCATCAATCATTATTCGGCTGTCTATATCAAAGATTGCTTATATTCTGCCTGTGAACATGGAAACTCTTGGTCAGAGGGTTCTTATTTTAGGACTACACAAAGAGACGGCATCTACATTGGTGAACCAGTATGTTTCCTTAAATCACATCAGTATTCTTATCTTTAATCTTTTTCTGCAAATTATTACTTGCACTTTCTACACTGCTAAATTAATTTTTTAAGGATTTTTTTTAATAAATCAGGGGGAAGTGGACTGGCAATTTGTGTACCCACAAGGGATTGAAAAAGTTGTGATGTATTTGAAGGACAAATTCAACAATACTCCAATGTTTATCACTGAAAATGGTAAGAAAAATATTACACTTTCTTGTTCTTTAGACTGAGATACATTTCATCAACTAATTACTTGAGCAAGATGCAATTTGATCCACCGGCGGATACAACTGCTAATATAACTGGCAATGTTGCAGGCTTTGCTGGGAACAGTTCTTCTATAGAGGATGCCTTGAACGATGTTCGTAGAGTGAAATACTTGCATAGCAACTTAAATTCATTGGCAAATGCCATCAGGAAAGGTGCAGATGTAAGGGGATACTTTGTTTGGTCCCTTCTTGACAACTTTGAGTGGCTAGATGGATATAGCATAAGATTTGGACTTTACTATGTCAACTATACTAATCTCCAGAGAACTCCAAAATTATCAGCCACCAAGTATCAAGAGCTCATGTATAACTTTCACATAGAGCTTGAAACACATACTGCCCTGAAATAGCGTAATAAGAGGATGTATATGTGGAGACTTGTTGAAGATTTTTATTTAGGTCTCTGTTGTTGGAAAGCAATTACTGGGAAATCATACTATAATTGTTCAGCCTAATCCCTTCCTTTATATTGCACAAATAAGGCCCAAGCCTTATCTTTTTATTCACTCTAATAACGTAATGAAGATTTATTGTATAAGTAGAAATATTCTGTTGAAAGCTGAATTTTGTCCATTAGTTCCCCTTTCTTCTGACAGGTCAACTTAATGTTCCAGAATTCTACCAAATGGGTGTAAACTTCTGCTGTTTTTCAAAGTACACTCTTCCATGAAAACTCATGTTTAATACTTAAGCATATGGGATGGAAAAGTTATATTCATGAAATATAGACCTTAATAACAAGCTCGTGGACGCGACTCCCTCCACGGTTTGCCTGCTATCTCAAAAAGTTGTTGCTACAATATCAACCAAAAAATTTCCATAGAAATAGGTTATAAGAACATAAATTATCAAACTAAGTATTGATGGGAAACATTTGTCACACCCCAAGTCTTAATGGGGTGGACTATGCTCTATATGCAACCAACATGTACCTGTAATAGATTGCATGCCATAACTTGAAAGGAAAATACAAAATGTAAAAGTCTTATATATATCACTGAGGCCATTGGCCTAAGACATGAAATAGATGTGGAACTGAATGCAAGTAAACACACCAATACTGTGTATGAAGCCTTTTTAAATACCTACAACTGAACAACTGATACAACGTCAGAAAAGGGCCCGACCTACTCGTAATCTTTAAGATCAATAGGGACACTAGGCCTGACTCAGCTCCAGGTAGAAATGGAGCTTACAACCCTTCCACAGAACATTTGCACTATTTAGCGAGAAGCTCTGCCAACCTGTATATCTGGACTTGCTATGTGAAATATAACAAATGCAGCATCCCAGCAAAGGGATGTCAGTACATAAAGACTATACCGAATATGTAAGGCATACAAAAAGAATGTGCAAATACAGAAACTCATACAAGAGATAAATGGAATAAAATCGACGAAATACATCAGAAAACTTTGTAACATCCTACATGAACTCATATTAAGTCTTACAGTATTTAACTCGTTCTGAATAATTTTCCGAGTCTTTCTGATGAAATCTTTGGGTCGTTATGTGGAGCGTCATTCTAGGATCGTTGGGATAATCGTACATTAGGTTCATTCCTTTACTTATAATACATTACGTATGCCGCATAGGACAATATGACATATAGGGCCATTTCCAACCAGTTATAGCTCGGTGGTGGTAATTATAATACAGTATGAACAAATCAAAAATTGATAGTTACAAATATTTTAAGTACTGGTTAGAAATTCTAAAACATATAAATATGTCCAAAATAATATTAGAAAAAAATATAGAAGAATATCAAAAAACTAAAGATATTAAATACTTAGAATACACACTTGAAAATATAAAAGAAATTTCAAGGTTAATTTCGCTAGCTACAGATAATCATGAAAAAGCATTTAATTCCACAACTACATNGTTATAATATGTGGGTATAATTTATCTAAAAATGGCATTCCTAATAATATATCTTTATTTGTGAATTCGTAACTATATATTTCTTCTATGGTTAATATTTTATCCCATATTTGTATTTTTATATTTCTTGCTTTATATGTTATCATACTTCCTTCATTATTAAATCCTGTTACTACAACATCTATAACATTATACTTATGCTTATCATATCATTTTCAGCCCTAAACATCATAAGAAGATCTTTATAAATAGTCCATACACCTAGCACCTTAACCTTTATCGTCAACTTCTTATTTTTCATATTTTCTTTTTAAATCAACTTAATTGGCACATAGATAAGCATAACAACAACAACCATGACATAATAAAATTATTTTAAATAATTTTCAGCCATAACAAACTATATATATATNCTTGTAGATTTTTACTCAAACAACTCAACCAACACATGATAAACCTTAAGTAAAACCAAGAACATGATTTACTTACCTTAGACAGTAGATACCACTTGAAATCCTCAGCTGGTGTAGCTCACAACATCCCGCAATCACTCCACAACACTTTAAGAGTTGTATTCTCTTCTTGAATCAACTTTTGGTGTTCAAGTTGGTGTGTAAACTCTTGTATTTTGCCTTGAATCTCTAATATATATGAAGGAGGGACTGATTCTTACCTTAATAAACAAGAACAACACTAAATTTTAGGTCACTTCACTTTAAATAATTCTCTAAAATAGCCACAAAATGAAAAACTACGATCTAGCAAGCGCCACGTTATTTCTAGTGTTAGATTCACATGTTTATCTTTGGTTTTCACTGTAGAATTATGGAGACTGCTTTAAGAGTATTTTGGCAGAGTATAGGGTCTTGTTGAGTCGAAATGAACCCAAATGAGCCTAGCCTTGATCTTTAAATACTGAAGAATCATAGACCACCTAAGTGGATCCCACAGGGCTGCCTGTGCAGTCTCGCAAAAAAAATGAATATCTATCTATTCTGATATCGTATTGATGAACGATTTAATGCGTTGGAATTATACTCGTAGATATTCAATTTGATATGCGGATCACCCCATAATTATCATTATATTGAGAGAAAAGCTCTACTATATTTGATGTAATGTTTAGCACATTTATGAAGGTAACTTGTGATGACCTTTGCCAACTTTTGTTCCACAATTCGTTAAACTTCAAAACATAACACACGACTATCATACGACTAAAATAACTCATAACATAACCTTATTATAATGTTAAGCATCCTAGTCTCACCCCAATAGTACATGTTATAACATTTCCAACTTGTCAACTTTCGACGAAACTTATTTTCTTCAATTCATTTAGCTTCTAAGCTTTCCAACCCTCTTGGTACTTGTTATTCACGATTTTACATATTTATAACCTCAAAGGTAACATGATTAATTTATTTTATGTAATTTCAGAGATGATCTCATTTTTGAGCTTACATCAATTGACCTACGACGTACTCTTACGTACGTAAATATAGGGTGTAGCAAAGTGTCACCTCACTATCAACAACAATACGGACCTATGGCCCAAGATCAGTCATTAATCTCCTCGAGTCTCAATATGCCAACATCACATAGTACTAATATCAAAATATGCAAGGAGTATAAGGACATACAACAACTCAGCTAAAACCAGTGTCACACAAATAGTAACATCACCAAGAACTGAGATAACATATAAAGAGTGTATAGAGACAGAGATATAATATGCAGATAAAAAATATCTTGATTGAAAATATGACTACAGTTAAAGCAAACAGTTCAACATAGCAAGAATAGCCTTATTATGTCTTAAACAGACAAGCATATAGCCTATACATGATTTCTAGCTGAAAAATAGCTCATATAGTCATACAAGTGGAGAAAATACGGTATCAAAGAAGCATGATAATAAAGCAATATACCTGGATCATGAATAACCACGGTGCACGCCTATGTGTTGGTCATCTCACATATATGTCATCCCAATTCATAACAAATATAATAGCCAATGGGGAAATTACCCCTCAAACCAAGCTTAGGCAAGATACTTACCTTATCTGGGCTAGTCTTCAACTTGGAATCATGTCAAAATCTCGATCTAGCCCTCCAATCCTGCAAATCCAAGCAAAAATTCATTCGAGGAAGTCAATAATGGCATAGGAAGCGATGCCAATCCATAAAGTTTCGATCTTTGAAGAAATTTTCAAAAGTCAACGAAAGTCATCCCGGGCACACGTGCCCGAAATCCGAACAAAATACCTAAATCCGAAAACCCATAACCTAACAAATCCAAATATGTGATTAGTTTCCAAAATCAAGTCCAAATCGGCAATCAAATCTCCAAAATACACTCTCTTAAAGTGTAGACAAATATTTCAAATTTCCTTTCAAAATTCCAAGTTTTAGGTGTAGAAATCAATGGGTAATCAATATAAAAAATCAAATCCAAGTTGGCATCACTTACCTCCAAGGTAGTGGTGAAATTTCCTTTCAAAATCTCCTTTTCTCAAAGTCTAGGTATCAAATATGAAATTAGGGGAAAACTCCCGTAATTAGACAATTTAGATCACTACCAGATAATACTCTTTGCGATCGTGTCCAAAATCAATGCGATCGCGATGCACCAATAACTATTGCCTCAGAACCTCCTACGTGAATGCAGCATGGACCATGTGAATGCAAAGGCCAATTGGCCTCTACACTCCGCAAATATGAGAGATGTAAGTGAACACGGAAGACTGCTGCCCGACTTCCTCCCATCACTTCGTGAACTTGAAGGCATGTATGAGAATGCGTAGAACCAAGTCCTCAGCTTCCAAACTCATTATACGATTGCAACACTAGGACCGCGAATGTGATGAACATCTTCCCACCTACCAAATCCTTTTCCGTAATTGCGAAGCACTGCAATACACCAGCAACACAGCAGTTCCAAACTCCACAAAGATGATCTAAAACCAACTAGAATTTAAACCCGAGTCCATTGGGAACCCGTCCAATTATATCAACAAGTCTAAATACATTATCCAAACTTATTCATCGCTCGAAATGCCACAAATAGCATCAAAATCAATAATCGCAGATCAAAATCGTTCTCTTAGCTTCACGAACATCTTACTTGCAACCAAGCTTCCAATTTAAGGCTAACCAATTCGGATTCGAACCAAAGTGTTCTCACAGCTTAAACTTGACTAAACAAATCTATTGCAAGTTCTGGAACAACAATTCGAACCTGATACCATCAAATTCAACTCCCGGTAAAACTTGTGAACTCTCCAATTCTTCAAATTGCCAACTTTTGATAAACAGAACCAAAACCGTCTTGGAACACCCAAATTCAAATACAATCATACGCCCAAGTCTAGAATCACTATACGAATTTGTTGGAATTATCAAATCATCAATCTAAAGTCATTTACGTAAAAGTCAAATCTTGGTTAACTCTCCCAACTTAAAACTTCAAAATTGAGAATTACTTTTCCAAATCAACTCCGAACCTCTCAAAGTCAAAAACAACTATACAT